TCCCCCCTCTCTCCCCCTCTAGAGTGGAGTCCATTACAACATTTTTGGAGTGTTTGGAATTGATTCCAAAAACTTATGATTGATCACATGTTTGGGATTGCTCCTGAATTATTGAGATCGATCCCTATCACCTTATAAAGTTGTAAAATGACATCCCTAAAAAATTGTATTGTTCAAAAAAACTTTTGATATTGTTAACTTGTTTTAACATTAAATTATATCTAATTAATTTACTCAATTATGATCCGAAACTTTTAGGGTTAGATTCATACATACACGTTGTGTCATTTTAATTTATGTCGTGATCATATTAATAAAACAAATATTTTATTTTTTGATAATTTATGCAATATAAGATTAAGAATTGAAAAAAAACTAATGTCCATTTTTTAATTATAATATTAATCGAACCGAGTTTTTTGTGTTTAAAATAGTTGTTTATATCTTGAGTTTTAAAATATTTTATACTTTATTATATAAATATAATTTTTAAATTGAGTAATACTATTTGAACCTAAAAATTTGACATAATTTGCTGACATAATAATGTGGTTTCAGCATAATCATTGGATCAACAATAATTTTCAATGTTTGATGAGTCTCATAGTCAATTCAAAAGTTTCAGTGAATTAGGTTAACAAATTATATCAATAAAATAAATTAAATCCAATTGCATTACTCTTTTGAATTTTGTTATTAAATTAATATCTCGTTTGTATTGNAGCTGGATTAAGCTGCCTTTTTCAGTCTATAGGTCTATAACTCTTGATCCATAAAGATATCGATTATATTCTCTTTGGAACTGAACAAAGTGAATTGATTGAGNTAGCTGGATTAAGCTGCCTTTTTCAGTCTATAGGTCTATAACTCTTAATCCATAAAGATATCGATTATATTCTCTTTGGAACTGAACAAAGTGAATTGATTGAGAATACATCTAGTAATAGTGTATTTTGCTTTGTATTTTTCTCAGTAAGTATTTTATATGGGATTTCAAGTCCTTTGGTNATGAAATAGGATTGTACGTTTATATATAATCTAATCAGTAAACTATCCCTAAAAAAATGTATTAAGAGCCCGTTATTGGCAAGTTTATACCCCGAATGATGAAGGGTAACAAAAACTTAACCATAATTTATTACAATAAAATTGGATTTATACTAAAGATCAAGCCTAAAAATTATAATTTTTGTGACCAAAATATATTACAAACAAATGGATTGGTCTTAACATTATAAGTTTTGATTCTGTAAAAACTATACAACTTTTGGGTTAAGCTGAACC